GATTCGAACCGGCCAAAGACTCGCCGAAGTAAGCCGACATTCTTCATAGCAGCAGACGAAGCCTTAGCACAGTTGTTGGAGCAGCTTAAATCCTCCTGAACAACAACACCTAAGTCTTTTTCGCTTGAAGTATGTGGTAGCTGCTGGTCTCCGAGGAAATAAGAGAATTTCCGCTTGTGGCGTAGGGATAGGACTTTGCATTTAGAAACATTAAATTCAATGTCGTTCTCCTTAGACCATTGATAAGCTGCGTTGAGTGATTCCTGAAGTGTTTGAGGGCCCTCTGGTTCTGTTACCGTGTTCCAGATCTTGGCGTAATCTGCAAACAGTAATGTTTTTGAGCCCAACACTTTCGATAGATCATTTACGAAGGCGAGGAACAGACGGGACCGAGTACGGACCCTTGTGGAACACCGCGGGTGGCTTTGATGGGTCCGGGTCAAGAAGATATGCTTACGTTAGAGGGAGATGAGTCGATCTGGCTTCACAAAGAAACCCCGATTAACGAACATTTAGTCCAATACCGAAACATGCTATCCTCTCAAGGTATTGACAGTTAGGTAAACGTCTCTGAGCTGTTTCCAAGGGTGGGAAGAGGAGACGGGTTCGGCAGTTTACGATTCGAATCCTGATAGAAACAAAAGACACATTAACGACCAGTTCGAATAAAGGACAAACCAGTTGTCCGGTACATTTTGGTGACCGTTACATTCCATTTCGCCACACCGAGCAAGTGCAGTATTTGAAAAAGAACGTATTTCCAATACGAAATGTTTCCGTTCATGTTCTGATGAAAATCGGACCAAGATGAGCAATGTTCCACGATAGTTGGAGGATATTTCGGTACCGCTTGTGAAACACCTGTACAAAAATGGAAACTCCACCAGCTTGATAGTCGAGTACTGCATTTAGCTTGGAAAAAAAAACGAAAGAGTTACCATTGTCCGAGGTCAGCAGAACATCTGGTACCCTACCGCGGAATGAGATAAGGCATATAAAAGATTTTCCCAAATCCTGATAGATAGGTTCAGGGGCCAATGAATCGGCAACGAGCTGCTCGGTTTTTCAGTTTCACTGGGTTTTATGTTATCCGTAAAATGATTTCCGATCCGCACACAAACAAAATTACCACCAATCCTCCGGGGTTCTCTCATTTTCCCAACGATCACAGAAAAACAATGATCTTACGCGTGAACTGTATCAGGATATCGAGAACGACACCCGTATCCATTTGACACCGTCGGAATTTCATCACCCGGAGCATGTGTTCTACATTCGTTTCGCCGTCTGTTATCATTCGGCCAACAGCCGGCAAATCCGCTA